GGGGGGGGGGCCAAGAACCAGTCAGGGGGAGCCCCATGGGAAAAGTAATGTGCCCCAACACAAGTGGGATGACATAAAATGGCACTGCACAAGTGCCTGGACAACACATCTCTCTTTTTTTATAAATAACCATTGAACAGGCAATAATTGTTCTCAACTTCTTTTGTCCAAACAGACTGTGTGTGCCAGGTTCAGTTTTAACTGTTCTATCTGATTATTAGACAGACGTATTAGATAATCCACATTAGACAGAACTGAATGACAACAGCGAACAAGAGGGAGAATGTAACTGCAAGCGGTAACAAATATGGATCAGGACACTATCCAACCTAAGAGCAACCTCATTTTTTTTTTTTGTTCATTTTCTAGAACATGCACACCTTGCCATATTTGCTGAATAGATTTTTTAGATCTGTCGCTCTCGTGGTTGAAGACAGTCCACTGACCCAAAGGTTCCTTCCAGCAGCTGCGCTACCTGATAGGGCCCAAAAATCAATTTAGAAAAGCCCAGAAACAATTTGTTTAAAAAGCTCACTGTGCACCCACCTTTATCATCTTTTGAGTCAGGCTTGCTTGATGAATCCTCATCACCACTACAGAAAAATAAAATGGCATAATGAGAAATTGAATGGGCAGTTTAAACGGGGACACCAGTGTCGATAAACAAATACCCACCTAGTGAGGACAAACAATGAACGAAGATTTGGATACTATAACTTGAATAGTCATGTGAAGCCCAATTACGTTAAACATACCTTGGACTGGCAAACCAAATTTCTGGTACATTACTTTTTGACGGTAGTAAAGAAAATGACAAAATGGTAGACGAAATGCGCAGTCGATTATACCTCCCAAGAGCACCCATACTTGTTAACAAAGGAGCCAATGAAACAGAAAGCCATTGTTCTAGTAGACAGAAAACAACAAACCTCTTTTTCTGATCATCAAGTCAACCACTAGTTTTAAGGCAGCTTTAAAAACCTTTTTGGTAACATCATGACTTTCCTGACCTTTCCTGATGTGGTCGTAAAAAACATTCGGAATAAATGCACTTGTCAAGAGAAAGTGACAGAAACAGCAGTTCAGTTGTGAGAGGGGTGGCAAAACCGTACTCCGCCCCTGCATTAAATATTTTTAATGCGTTAAACTGAAAAATTTTAAATCGCCCGCGTTAATTTTGACAGCACTAATAGATAGATAGATAGACAGATAGAGAGAACAGGGATGTGGTCTGCAGCATGCAAAATCACACTTCTCCTGTTTGAGCTGTGAAATTGACAGCACTCTAATCCAATGGCGTTGTAAATATACGGGAAATATACGGCAGTGAACCAGACAGTGAGTAGGAGTGTTCTACTTCAAGAGGCGCTACGCCGCCGATTAGCATATGACATCAGAGCGTGAGATTTCAAATGCACCCGAATTGCTCCCGAGCAGATGTTATACTCTGATCAAGCAAATTTTGTGGG